AAATTGTAAAATGCACTTGTTTTGAACTGGAATGAAAACATATTTTGAAATTGTGCACAGCTCTAGTAGGACGTACTTTGAATTTATGCACCTTTGATGTCTGATAGGTGGAAAAAGATAAGAACTGCCATACTTATCAATCAAAAGGTCTGTCTAGCCTTGTATCACTGACAATGGCAAATAGCAGGTGCTTTGAGGATGAGTATAAGAAATGGAATGTATGTGGAGTGATCCACCCCTAGTAAAGTAATGCTCTACTATATCCACTGAATGTTAGAGCTCATCAACAGCTGGAACCTGAAAAGCCCAATGTTTGAAGTATCTACAAGCCACGATCCACTGTCAACTGTGTATTTTTTTAAAGCACTCACAGCAGCATGCTGGAAAAGAGGATACTGATTACAATATTGCTAACAAGAAGACTCTTATTTCTCCTGACTTATTGCTTTTTCAGGAGACAAGTTCAGAATATGAAAGATCTAGACGTTCCACCACTGAATTCTCATTCATAAATGTTGTCCCTCTCATTCATGTGATCACACACATAATTTGACACCCAGCTATCTGATTATTCAAAGTTTGTCTCTTCTTCCTCAGATGCAAATACTAATCTAAGGTTGCTAATATAATACACATCTTTTCCAAAGAAGTTGTTACCTTCTTGGCATCTCTAAGTGCTGATAGCTCAATAAGTGAGAGTGAGATATGAGGCTCAAATGTAGGCAGCACACACAGAGACACTTTGCATTGGAGTTCAACCGAGATATATGAATATTAGTTTTTATATATCTCAGGGATTACAATTTATTATGTAAACCAGAGGTCATAAATTCAAATCTTATGCCTAAGAAAGTTGTCTTTCACCAGAAGTTTTAAAGATGAAGGGAACCATCTGTCTGGAATAGTTTAAAAACAGCAAATCCTGCATATGTGCAGGGGGCAGATTTAGATGACCCTTGAGGTCCCCATGAATCTATGATCCTATACCGTGGTTTTCTTGTGTTATTCATTCACAAAAGTACAATGTTTTTTGATTGCCTGTCCTGAGTATAACCCTGAAACAATGGGAGCAAATTTTCAGCTCATGCTTATATTTACTTTTGGTATGTCCTGTTCTCTATTATCCTTGTGTCTCAGCTTCATCAGTGTTTAAAAGTAGATTACAGAGTCACATATTTGTTTCGGTGCTCAATTGTTTCTAATTATAGATTTTACATGAGGAATGTTGTTCACTATCTAAAACATTTTGGATGGGCTAAAGGACATGGACTTTCAGGTTAATTGCTGGCAGTCCTCTTTAGCACTTACCTTTACTATTTTTTAAATTTGATTTTAGACATGTGCACAGTAGAATTTCCATGGTAAGAAGTAACCAACCCCTAGAGAAGGTGTCACAATTAGAATTATTTTGCCAATGATGTCATTAATTGGGAATAATCTGCTTATTTATGCACCTGATGTTACATTTCATTACATTACATTCAATCAGATAACACCTCTGATCCAAAATGTTCCAAAAGAACAACAGAGGGACATACTAGTAGTATATGTGAATATATAACAGATGTTAGCAAAACAAAAAAGAGAAAAAAGTCAACAATTGGTGCTCTCCTGTAAACCCTAAATATTTGACATCAAGGCAAAGAGGAAAGATAAGGAATCTTTACAACACACAGCAATCAGAGGGGGAAGAAATGAGAGGTTTTGAGATGGCATTTGAAACAGTGAAGAAAAACAGAAAAATAGAAGTAGAGGACATGAGAGTGCCAAGATCTAGGACTAGATGACAACATACTGGATCCATCTATGTGTGCATATTAATGCAACACAATAAATGCACCTGAGTTTATTGTTCCTGGATGCGACTTTTATATGTCCCAGGGGTCAGCCTGCCAGCCTGGGGCTGCTCTGACCCAGCTCAACATGCGGGGGAGGGGCTGGCTGGGGCACAAGGGTGCTCCAAGTGTGGCTAGTCGGTAGGCACTGAAGCACTTTTGTGCCCCAGCTAGCTGGGCCAGTGTCTACATGTGCATTGCTATGGAATAAAAAGCTGTGCAGCAGAGTAGTAGTTGTATTCACAAGTACTAACCTGCTGTGGAGTTTATTAGTTTCCTGCGGCCTAATAGGGCTGCATAGGTAGATGTTAGGACATGTACTGCAGAGCTAAGTAGACAACCCCCTAGTAAATGTCTCATGTAGACATGCCCACTAGGACTTTAAGGCCACATCCAGATGAGTACGGTCATGTGGTGTGTGGCACCGCAAACACGTCTGCAATGCCACATACCACACCTTCAGTTGTTCTCTGTGCTGCAAGGGGGTGCTGCCCGTGTGTGCACTGCTCTGGTTTTTTTCCACAGTTATTTTTTTTTACTCCTGGATATCAGCTGATCGAAATGGAGAGTTGAGCTGATCAAACATGTAGCAATGAGTGTGAATAAACTCCTTTCATATTCCAGAGTGTGCAGTGGTGCACCATTAGGTATCTGACCCAATTAAAGGACCTGAGTTTCAAGGTCCTTTATGGTCTGTGCCCCAGCTACTACTTTTCTCTTCATGATCAGAACCTAGAAACTGTCAGCCAGGCAGGGACTTGCAGAAGCAATAGACAGACCCTTGACTGGATTTGCCAAATATGTAGAATCATAGAAAAATGTGGAATGGAAGGGACCTCAGGAGGTCATCTAGGCCAACCCCTTGCTCAAAGCAGGACCATCTGCAACTGTATCATCCCAGTTAAGGCCTTGTCTACTTGGGTTTTAAAAGCCCCATAAATGGATTAGCACAATTTTAAGGGCAGGCCTATGTTGCACTGGACTGGGCTAGAGAGAATACCAGGAGAGCATGACTCTGACTGCTCATTCTTGCTTTGCATGCATGAAGTGCCAAACGCTGCAATGCAGCCACTCTATTAAGCATACTGGAGACTGAGAGCTTGAAAGCGGCTTTGGGTATACCCTGGGCACATGCCAAGAAACAGTTATATAACAGTTTTTTTAGCAGTTGGTGCTCATGGAGTGGGAGTGAAGGGGCAAGTTATGTTTTCACAGTGGTAATCCCTAGCAGAGTCTGACACAGCAGCAAAATACCCTTGTGATCAGGTTTTCAGAGCAAATTCAAATTTGAAATGTGCTTTCCATGAATATTCATTTAAAATGTTCTTTTCCCCCACCATTCTTGTCAGTAAGCTTGTTTGATAAAATATTTGTGGAAAGCAAGCACAAAAGGAGTGAGAAGACAGGAAAAACAGATTCTCTTAAACAAATAAACAAAAGACTGTTCATAAGTAATTGTGCTCTATTCACTCAACTCTAGGCAGGGTGCAGAAAAGCTACTGTATATCCTTCTACTGCTGAGGCACAAAGCAGAAGATGGGGAGGACTAATGAAATGGAGGGCAGAGAGGTGACTATATAGGCAAGAATGGGAAAGAAAGGTTGGATTATGCAGGGTGGATGAGAAGGCTGGGGTTTTGGAATGGACTGATATATGAGAGCTGCCATAAGTTTCAAGGTTTGGTTAGGGCTGGAATAAGCATCTGGACATTTAGATGAGTACACAGAACGAACACACCCCACCTATTACAAGCCCTCATAAATGCTGACATTGGAAAAACTGACTGATGCAGAACTCTGATTATAATACCATAGAACAAATTTTAAAAATGTAAATGCAGACATATAAATAAAGGAAGAACTGATTTCAGAAATCTACCTGATAGCCTTTTTCTGAGTCAAGTTAAAGGGTATAAATAATTCCCATAGCATGATTGTACGATAAAATAAAAAACTCCTCAAGGAGAACGTTATATATTTCATTTATTATACATTACTCTTATGTTTACAACTGAAACACATCTTTCCTTGAGGATTGTACTATCATTTATTTCAAATCAATGTTTAAAATTAAATGGTAATCCTCAAGAGAGAGGAGACTTCAGTTACCAGTCCTTCCAATTGGAAATCTTTCTTTCATGTTTCTATTTAATACTCAATCCAGGGTTTGAAATTAATTAAAAGATATCCTTTCTCTAATCTTTTGATTATTAGCTTCAAAGTTCTTTTTTTATTCACAATGTTATAATAACTTCATCTTTTAGGAGTAAATCCAAACTGTTATTAAATATACAAAATGTATTACAAGCGAACAATAAATGGGGGGGAGGGGTGGGAGGGAAGGGCCTGATGTGGGGGATCATAGCAAATTGTCAGCGCTTGCTGAGCAAAAGTCCATGTTTTCTTTTTTTTTCCTAATGTGTTCTCATGTTTAAATAAATACCAGCAAATGAATCTGTAGCATGTAATGTCAATTACTGCATTATTTTGTCTCCCAGTCTAAAACTTTCATGTACTATATAAAACACACTCTTGCCATCTCAACAAAAAGACTAAGGATTGCATAAACATGGAGGTAGAGCTACCTTCTCGTAGACTTATTTATGATCCATGCCAACGAGTTCTGGCTCATGCATTTTGGATATCTGCTAAGTTATCGGTCATCTACTAGCAGGCTGCTTATTAGGATAGCTGCACCTGATCTGAGTGCTTGAACCCTTGAACCCATTTTGTGGAGAAAGATAGGGCTTCAGAATCCAGTACTGTTAAGCCAATACTTTTCAATATCTTTTTCTAAAAGAAAAATGGGAAAAAAGCATCTCCAATGAGTTAAAATACACTACAAATTAAAGGACCTGTGAAACCTTAGGCCTTCTTTAGCATTTTAGCACATCTTTTCTGCAACTCCTTTCTCAGTCTCTACCCCTAGCTGGTTTTGATTGGTAATGGAGAATAGAAACAGGTCTTAAACACCAATACTGCAATCTGTCCCATGCAGTAATGCTTTTATGACCACTGGGGGTCCCCTGAAGTTAATGTGGCTCTTTGGGCCTTCAGGGCTCCTTGTATGAATTTGTCATTGTACAATGAGAAGCATGGCCTGTATCTTCACTGAAGGAAAGATAGCATAGATTATGACTGATAAGAACTATTTCTTCTTTTACAGGAGGAAAAGGAGAAGAAAAAAAACCTACCACTGCTACACACTCTACTAAGGAGGTCACACTTCACTCGCTACAGGCAGAAGCACACTTTTCTGATGCTTCATGGAAACTGATAATGTAATAGGACTTTTATCACAGATCAGCTTGCAGTGGAATTGGCTAATAAGAGGATATAAAGTAACAGGAACAGTAGGACTAACATACCTGATCAGCAACTTTCACATCATTTGAAGACTTGTTTTTTCATACAGCATTAGTGACTTTCATATATCGTTTTGCATTTATGTTGTATTAGCGACATTTACATCTTCTGGACAACTTTTCATATATTCTATCTGAGATATTTTTGTACTGTGCTGGCAACTTTCATAGTTTATTTAGGATTTTATCTTACTGTCAAACATTATGTTTTCCTGAAGATGAAAAGCAAGTCACGGATGCTACACTTTTCAAAGTTACTAACACAAATAGTGATGGCAATGCTGCTGGAATTAGAAAATATATTCTCTGATCCTTTTTGGAAGCAACTTGTAGCCCCTGAAACTTGTAGATATACTAAGATAAAACTGTATTGTAGGATTAACTAAAATTCCTCACAGCATTTCCTGTGAACCGGCTAAGAAGGAGAACTGAAAAGGAATCAACTGAAAAGTTGGTTGTTGTTTTTTTCCCCTCAAGCAGACTATTCATCCCACTATAAGACTCCAGTGTGAATGAATGATGGAATATTTGACGGATGTAATTTATGGCACTCCATATGACAGCCTATTTCAGAGTGCTTGAGGTTTTTACAGTCTCTGGGAGTAGTACCTGCTGCTGAAACAAGAGATTACTCTCCTTGGACAGACAGTAATTTAATAGTACAACTGTGTAGCTAGCCACCTCCTACTGTATTTCACCACCCACTCCAGTCAGCTTTTGATAGATAGGCCTCAGTACTTGGAATGTGAAGAACTATGTATCCTGCTCACAGTCTTAGGAGATACATCAAGGGCAAAAAAAACTGGAAGCAAAATAAATAAATAAAAGTGCTAATAAAGTCAAGTGAGGACCAGTTCTCAGTTCTGTTGTTTTTACACAATATATAGAATAGAAGGGATAAAGTATTGTATTGTATTTTGTAGGGTGTTAGCTTTCAGAGGATACTGTCAAAGTTGGCAGGCTCTTGCACTTAATTTAGCTTTCTGTTTCCAATGTCTTCACATTGTTATATTTTAAAAACCAGATAAAGAATTAAATGTGAACTTTTCTAAAATAAAAAGGCCAACAGCTTATTATACACTGGCAGCTCTAATAATAGTGTACATCTCTGATTTTGGACAGGGATTTTGAACAGTGCTTAGAGCTCCCTTTCCAGGTCACTCCCCTTCCAGGTGACTTCTTTGGCTGCCTACGTAATGACATAAAGAGGACCCCTACTCCAACCCTCATCTTCATTTTTAAAAGAAAATGGTAGATGCAATTGCATTTTGGAGGGAACCTGATCCTATGGATGTGCATGGAGCCCTGCTGGCAGAGAAACACCTAGCTGCTGGATCCTTGTCAGGTTTACATGCTAGCTAGGTGCTTAGGAGCAGTCCTAGGTATGTGCAGACACCCAGCTCTAGGGACTAAGGAACCTTAAGGTAAAAAAAAAGCATCCTACGTCTTAGGTTTAGGCAGGGGTGAATTGGTAGGTCACTGGGTGTTTTCAGGATCCCAATTTTGGACTTAAGTACCTAAATTCTGTCTAAGTCCTACATTAGGCATCTAAATCCTTTATTGGATCTAGCTGTAAACTCTCCAGCCGCTGTTTCTAAAGTCTGTGGATTAATTCTTGTTGTGGGTAGGGTGTTTTATGTGATCACATCTCTGAAAATGGGCTGGTGAGTAGAGGTCTGCATGCCTCTAGTTGAAGGCAGTGAATTGTGGAGGCAGTACATTTCAACTAGGTTGGGATACTAGTTCATAGGGCCATGCAAAGCTTCCATCCTTGATTCGATTCAGCGGAGATTCTGCCCAGTTCAGTGGCTGAATCTCCGAATCAAATCAGAGGACTCTTTAATTTCTCCGAATTGAATCAGAACCCTCTGAATCAATTTGGAAAATTCGGCGATTCAGACATAGGCACAGCTTTAAATGTTTTTTCTATATACCTCTAAGAAGCAGGGGCTCATGAGTGCTGTGATGCTGGGGTGCATGGAGTGTCCCACAGGAGCACGGGGGGCTCCCCAGAGTGCTCAGCAGCAGATCTGGAAGTGGATCAGAAGCACTTCTGGTCCACTTCTGGGTTTGCTGGGGAGCATGCTGGGGGCTACCCCACAGCCCCCTGGCTCGGTGACTGGTGCCTCCTGGGTCTGGGGGGGCACCCAGGGTCCCCCTGTGGCCGATTGACAAGATGGGGAGGGTGCAGGGGGCCCCCCGTGTGCTCCTGGCAGACCTGGAAGTGAACTGAAAGTACTTCCAGTCCACTTCCGGGTTTGCCACTGATCACATAGAGGTCCACCCCCCCAGTACTCCTGTGGGATGCTTCATCCGCCCCAGCATCACAGCATTCACAAGCCATGCTGGTCATCAGCGATTTGGACAAGGGGGTGAAAAGCACCTTGTTCAAATTTGTGGATGACACTAAGATGTGGGGAGAGGTGGGCACACTAGAAGGGAGGGCA